CGATGTTTCTAACTTTCTATCCCTCTCCCTTCATCTCTGTAAAAAATCAATAAAATATATTTTTTAAAAATAAATAAATAAAAGCTATTTGAGAGGCTTGCTGTTTATCAAAAGCATCGTTTCTTGTTGATTCAAAGAAGGTCCAGGGCCCAGCACAAGACAACATTCAATACAGGCCCACCCCTCCCTCCCAGCACGATTCCATGGCCCCCATCCTCCTCCCCCTTTACTCACCTTCATGCCGAAGGTAAAGATGGTGATGACGATCTTGAAGACCAGCGCCAGGGCCAGCTGCCAGATGGCCGTGTACACCCCGCGCCCGGCCGGCCGGTCGGGAATGTCATCCACGGGCCGGGTCATGTTGGGGTCGTTGATGTAGTCGCAGAGCTGGGAGGACTCGAGGGCCCCGCAGTCATTGAACAGCTCGGAAATGAGCTCGCTCGTGCTCTGGCGTGTGTAGGGGTTGGGGTAGGCGACGATGGCGGTGATGGCGGTCACCACGATGACCTCCAGCACCGGGTACTTCCCCAGCCGGGTGGTTTTGCGCCTCCGGCACCAGGCGATGTTGCAGCGGATGAAGAGGGTGCCCCACAGGCCCCCGAAGACGCCCAGCAGGATGAAGGGGAAGAGCTCGGCCATGTACCAGGGCGTGTGATATTCCACGTAAAAGAGAACGAGGCGGCTGTTCCCAAAGGGGTTGATGGAGCGCAGCGTGAAGGCCGCCACCAGGGCCGCGAAGAAGGACCGCCACAAGGTCTTCAGGGGGAAGTAGTAACTGACCTGGGATGGACAAGGAGCCCATGAGCGACCTGGGTGTCACTATGACCCAAATGCACCAACAAAGACATGTCAAGGACTCTGTGTCTGACAGTAGAATGGAAACTAGTCGAGGTGTTTTTGAGCTATTTTTTAAGAGAAATGAGAACATTTAATCATAATTCTGTTTATGGCACGAAGACCCCCCCCCCCAAAAAAAGCAAAGAAACCTCTGAATTAGATTCTACAGACAACAGAGTAGATCAAGGGTTGGAAAACCTGGCCCAGCAAATGTATCTGAATGGCACAGGAGTTAAGAATAAATTTTCGATTTGTAAATGGTTAGGAATGCCCTAGCTCAGCCGTGGGCAAACTACGGCCCGCGGGCCGGATCCGGCCCGTTTGAAATGAATAAAACTAAAAAAAAAAAAAGACCGTACCCTTTTATGTAATGATGTTTACTTTGAATTTATATTAGTTCACACCAACACTCCATCCATGCTTTTGTTCCGGTCCTCCAGTCCAGTTTAACAACCCATTGTGGCCCTCGAGTCAAAAAGTTTGCCCACCCCAGCCCTAGCTGGTTTGCCTTCAGGCCTACAGACTGAAGGGTCCCGGGTGTGATTCTGGTCAAGAGCACATACATGCCCGGGTTGTGGGATCGATCCCCAGTAGGGGGCGTGCAGGAGGCAGCCAACAAATGATTCTCTCTCATCATTGATGTTTCTATCTCTCTCTCCCTTTCCCTTCCTCTCTGAAATCAATAAAAAAATTTTTTTTAATAAGTAAATGGTTAGGGCCCTGGCCAGCTTGGCTCAGTGGATAGAGCGTTGGCCTGTGGACCCAAGGGTCCCAGGTTCGATTCCGGTCAAGGGCATGTACCTTGGTTGCGGGCACATCCCCAGTGGGGAATGTGCAGGAGGCGGCTGATCGATGTTTCTCTCTCATCGATGTTTCTAGCTATCCCTCTCCCTCCCTCTCTGTAAAAAATCAATAAAATACATATTAAAAAAAAAGTAAATGGTTAGGAAGAACTATTTTGTGACATGTGAAATATTCAAAAGAACTCTATTTTTGTGACACGAGAAAATTATATAAAACTCCAGCTTCAGCTCATAAGGAGAGTGGTGTCATGATCACGGGCGCGGTGTCTGCGGCAGCTTCCCTGCGCCGTGCAGGGCTGAGTGGCTGGGACCCAGCCCGGGAGACCCGCAAAGCCTCAAACAGTGACTCTCTGGCCCTTTACAGATGTTTGCTGGCCCCCGGAACAGATCTAGCCGCGTTGCCAAAAACAAAAATGCTTCATTCATTTGGTTATGAGGAAGGGGGACACTGCAAATCTTCCAGAACATTTCTATCGGCCTTTTCCAAACGTCCTGAGCAGCACCCATCGCGGCTCCTTAATGAGCTGCAGGAATCGTGTCAGCGCTCCTCCGAGGGCTTCAGGCAGCCTGCTGCTGAGCTCACCGCTGACGCAGCCCGCAGCCCACAGCCCGCAGCCCGCAGCCCGCAGCCCCAGCCGCCCTGCTCACCTCCTCCAGGCTGAAAAGCACACCGCCAATTGGAGCACCGAACGCAACGGAGACCCCGGCAGCAGCCGCAGCTGAAAGTACCTGCAAGGCAAAGCGTTCCGTGTAGCCCAAGGCCTTTCATGAAAACAAGCGTTTGCAGGGGATGCCGGTGTGGCTCAGTGGTTAAGCATTGACCTGTGAACCAGGAGGTCATGGTTTGATTCCCGGTCAGGGCACATGCCCGGGTTGTGGGCTCCATCCCCAGTGTGGGGCCTG